ATTATTGCCCCGTCCTGTCCACGTAGTTCTTTCAGGTTATGAAAGATTCCAACCGAAGAAGCTCCATCCGATAACCCTAGAGAGCTCCCTTCACAACATAGAGGTGATGACTATTCAGAGTCTGACACTAGGCGCAGGTAAGTTACTTGACTTCTTTACTGGGCTTAGAGCAACATCTGCTGGTAAAATTTCAACTCTCCCAGATCCCCCGGAATCGTACGCCGAAATCAAAGATCGAGAAGATCGACAGCTCTGGATGACCGCAGTTAGGGACGAGTTAAAATCTCTTGAGGAGAATAAGGTATGGCTGACGGTGGAATGTCCTGCCGGTGTTAAGGCCTTGCAGTCGAAGTGGGTCTTTCGCGTGAAAGAGGATGAAGAAGGAAACCATGGGCGATGCAAGGCAAGACAGGTAGTCAAAGGTTTCTTGCAGAAGGCGGCCTGGACTACAATGAACCATATACGCCCGTTGCGAAGTTGACGACGATTCGAATTGTGCTGGCCGTAGGCGTACAAAGGGGATTCCATTCATCGTGCCTGTATGTCGATGATCTCCTGAAAACAGGTATGCAGCTGACCACCATAATGAAGCTGAAACGCGAACTTTCGGCGATGTTTGAAATGACCGACTGTGGAGAGTTGACTCACTTTCTTGGGATGAAGATACGGTACGATCAACACAATGGTAGAGTGATGCTGTCTCAAGAAACCAACGGAGGACGCCAATCGAGAAAGGATTGAAATTGGATCGTCAAGTGGACGAAGGTGTTCAAGAACCGTGCCGTGAATTATTGGGAAGCCTGATGTACGTGATGATGTCCACAAAGCCGGACATTTGCTTTCATATCGGATATCTGGGGAGATTTAAACTTCAACCTGGACAACAACATTGGACAGCTCTGAAACGGGTTGTACGATACTTAAAAGGATCGATGGAGTGTTGCTTGACGTTTACTCGAGACAATCAAGCGGCGCCACGCATCGGGTTTGCTGATTCAGACTGAGCCACCGATACTGACGACCGGAAATTAGTAAGCGGATTTGTTTTCCGTGTTTTCGGATGTACTGTTGCGTGGCCAAGCAAGAATCAAACAACAGTTGCAACTTCTTCAAGCGAAGCTGAATATGTAGCGTTGAGTGCTGCAGCATCGGAAGCAATATGGTTAGTCGGTGTTCTAGGCGATCTCGGTGAGCTGGACATTGAACCAATCACCATATACGAGGACAACCGTGGATGCATTGGTATGACCAAGAACTTGGAGAGTAAGAGAGCCAAACACATCGACATTAAACACCATTTTCTTCGTGATCATGTCGCTGTTGGTAAGCTATTGGTGGAGCCGATTGCCAGCAACAACCAGTTGGCTGACTTCTTAACTAAATCGTTGGACGTCGGCCGATGCTGGGACTATCCAAGCGAGAGGGGGTGAAATCAAAGTAGTCGTTGGATTACCTGACCTGGTCACTCCAGTTATTGTTCGCTGTCATTCCAATTCAAGAGCTCGATGTGAGCAATTCAAGTTTGTTTTAATAAAACATTCTTTTGTTCGTTAAGTCTCGGCCTGTTCATTATTGCCCCGTCCTGTCCAAGTAGTTCCTTCACTTACATTTCGATGAAGATCGTGATACTTATCATTACAGAAACCAATCTTGAATCGTAGACCAGTTCCATCAACAATACACTCGTTCTGAGACGTTTTATTATAGTCACTTTAACGCTTTTGGGTCATTCGTGACTTGCCCGGGGTGAGATTTGAACTCGTGACTTTGGCGTGAGAAGTGTGGATGCTAACCACTACGCCGGGTTCGCCCCCATTTTTTAGTATAAGTAATTGTTTTATCTGAATACCCAAGTTACCATATTGTGGATACTCATACAATGTTGTGCCAGTACCACAAGTTCAACAACGCCCAACTATGGACAGTTTTTTTTTTGGCAATAGTCCTTGTTACACATTTTCTGTGTTATCCTTTTTTCTTGCAGTGTTTATAACTTCCCTTTCCTTGAACTTCTTCCTCGGTCGATACACCATCTGAAATTTCGCTATCCTCATTTTTATAAATTTCTTCCGCTTTCTTTTTCAATTTTTCTTTGTCCTTAGTTAGTTCTTTCCATTCTTCTATATCAAGTTCTTCATATCTATCAAAGTCCTGATTTCTTGTTGAATTTGAATCTATACACTAATTGCAGTGGATGATTCATCTCTCTTCTTCTGATATGTCCAAAATAACTTATTCTACCTACCCTAACTCGTCTATTTATTGTTTTTCCTGCTAAAAATTTTCTTGCATTTAATTTCATATTACTTGGTTTTTTACAGCTACGAAAAAAATATTCTAAGGAACATTTTTACCATAGAATATTTTTTTCGTAGTTTGCTAGTGCCACCATGTTTTTTTTTTGTTAATACCGCTACCTTAGTTCCGTATAATAACGCTGGCGCCAAAACTGTAGTATGTATAAGGTTTCCTAATTCCCAACTCGGATGAAATCTTGTACAAAAATCTACAACTAATCTTGAAGTTTTCAAAGCGTTTATAGATCTATGCTCATTGGTTAATTTCCTGTTTAGGGTTGCTGTCTGTGGGTCAAGTCTGTGGATAACAGTTCAATTGTTTCTCGATTCCTGGGTAGCCAAAAATGGCGATGAAATGGAAACATTAGTCGAAAGAGTATCAAGCATAAGACGTTTTAGCTGAATATTTTTTTTTAGCAGGCTCTAAAAATTTGAGATATTAAAAAGATAAAAGTCTCTCACAATGGTTTCCTCCGACAGCACAGCGCTGGCAGGCAATCATTTTGATTGTTAAAAAAAATCGGCATACAATCTTAAAAATCGGTATTCTGAGAAACCATATCTGTACATCGGTAACAAGTTCGAAAATCGGTATAAATACCGAATAATCGGTGAATCTGGCAACGCTGTGTATCACATACACTGGAAAAAACAGTTGCCAATTTTCTCCGAATAAAATACTTAAAATATTGTTTACAATATTGGTCCCACCCTTATATGTTCCCGGTACCTTCTAGGAAACTAAATCCTGACATGACCAAAAACATTCATACGAAACATCAAATCACATTAAAATAAACATTTGTTGCGGTTACCACTATATTAGCCATACCCGGCTATGTCTCAAATATTTTTGTTTTTTCCTTGACTTGTTTTCCGTCGATCTTGTTTTCCGTACTGAGTACCAATGCTACCAACGCCAGGGAGGCAACTCCCACACATGGACCCTACCTGTCGACCCATCTATTCATGAACCGAGGACCAACGGCTTTACTTCCCTTTCGAAGGAAGGCGTGATCAGAGATGTTATGCCTCAGGAAATCCCGGCGGCACCAACTGGGATTGAACCCAGGCTTTTTGGGGTATGTCCCATTTGAAAGAGTAAAGAAAAGGAACACAGAAGACTGCTCGGACAGTTCACAAGAAGGTATTCAAGTTTAAGTCAAGGCAGAGGACCACAAAAGCAGTCCAAGGCAACAGTAAGGAAGGGCCCTAAGGAGTTCAATAGATGTCTGTTAACAGAAAATATCAGGATAAAAACAATCATTCAATAAGTTCCGAATCTCATAACCTCAATCAGCGGCCAAAAACTCGCCGAAACGCAGCCGGTTGTGAATGATTCTTTCCTATTTGCGCACATGTTAATAATTTTTATAGCGGAAATGCACAATTTACTACTGAAACTAGTGTGGTGTATCACTCTCCCCTCAATTTTCCGAATTTTAGTATCACAGCGGTGTGATGGCACAAATCAGCACGGCAACAGACAGCGAATAAAAAAAAATCGTGTCAAATCATCATCGTATCACATGTGTGTATTTTTTTTTATTTCGGTTCACTATTCAGAAGGGGGAACCGACGAGCTCTCCGGAGTGACTTTTAAATTGAACCCAATATCGAAGTAAGCCGCCGCACCCGAATGAGGTTTTGCCGCCCCCCTCACCTCAGCAAAGGCAGATCATCCATCGAGCTAGCGTCACTTCCGAAAACCGAAACCATGACAATAGATACGGTTGCTATCGCATAGATCACGACCGAATTGCATAAATCCAATCTCAGTTAGCACTGCCATCGCTCTCTCTCTCTCTCCCCCATGCCAACCAGCTCCCCTCGGCTTGCTGCGACCATGCCAGTTCAGGTTAAATTGAAATAAATCGTACTATTTATTTCTGCCGACAGTTGTTCTCCGGGGCAAGATCACCGTCATCGTCCGGTGCGGGTTCGGTGTCCAATGGCCGCGGTATTTGTTCGCAGCTCGTTTGTTCTCCAATCCCTGACGGTTCCACGGTATGCCATGTGATCGTTTGGAACGGATTTGGCTAGAATGATTTATGATCACTGACTGCCGCGGCGGAAAGCTGAATTTAGCTGCAATGGGTTCAACCGCTTCCTAAGACATAATATGTCCGTTTGCAATAAAAAAAAAATCATAATGGTAACAATGGAACGGACGGCATGGAACTGGAATGGGCGAGGACTATTACACTCGATTACGGTTGGTGGTTGGTTGTCGAAGGGAATTGGGAAACGCAGCCCTTTCGTAGGGCGGAAGTGTGTGGGAAATTTCGTGACCCATTATTGGGGTAAATTGGAATAACATCTTTTATATGCAATTCAATATCATTGCATTAGGTCCTATCGCCCTAACCTCAATCTACCTGTTCAACAACTCCCAAAACGTAAACACACAAAACAATATTGGTTCCAACCCTAAATAACGTTTTCAAAGATGTTGAACAGGTAAAAAGTGAGGTTACGCGACGCCACTGGTCCTAAGTAACATTGACAGATTCTCTTCGTCGACTTTCTCTTAGCATCCCCACGGCCCCCATTCTCAGCCGAAGAAGCAAAGAAGCTTTTATCTAGCATCTAATACGACACACACAACTAGAAACGGTTCTGTGCTCTAGGAACACCAGCAGATATCAACGTAGTAAACGTAAAATGCTTAACAATGCTAACAACTTTCTTTTCCCCTTTCAGAACCATAACCTCAAAAACCGTCGTGCCAATGAACAACCCGTCCAGATCTACCCAATGAAGAAGCTAAAGCAACAGAACAAGAAACATCAGAAACACGCTCAATCGCACTCCTCGCCCTATGTCGATCCGTCCGGCAATGTCCCGATCCCAGGCTGCTGTCAGCTTCCGACCGCCGGGTGTCCGGGTTGCTACTCTCACTACCCCAATCCGGCGGCCTCCTGCCACATCTCCTACCTGAGCGGTGGCTGCTCCTGCCTCCAACATCAACACCAGCAGATATACCAAAACTCCTCCCATCGGAATGAGTACCACCGGGGGGGATTCCACTCCGGACCATCCTCCTCCTCCTCCTCCTCCTCGTTGGCGCCTCCGCCGTCCATCACGAAACCGACCAACATCGTCGCCACCATGGAGCTCTTTGAACCGCGAGCTTCCACGTCCTCCGGTCCGCATCAGGATTACTCATATGCCTATTACGAACCGGGCGCTGCCTTGCGACACTCGAACATTCCGTCCTATATGTTCGATCATGGTGGCACCTCCGCAGGAGGTGGTCCTTCCGGACAACAACGAACGCCCGGAACCAGTAGTGGTGGAAGCAGTTCGATGCGAGCCCTCATTGCCCTTGGAGGAAGTGGCCAACGAAATCGATTGTACGGAGGACGACGCGGTGGATCCGTGAGCCGTTTTCCCGGATCGCCCTGTGAGAACATCTACGAAGAGATCATCCACGAGGAAAACGAAGCTGCAGCCGGTGCGCCGATGGCATCGTCGTCGTCGTCGTCCTACGGAGGGCCTTCGTCGAGTGGCCGCTTGTCGCTGATGTCGCTGAATCAGAACGTCATAGTCGAGGAGGAGTTCCGTCAGGTACAGAACTGTCACCGGAAGGTCCTCGGAGAGTTGAACCTGTCGGTTGAGGCGATGCTAATGCCGGGCAATGGGAGGGGCCAGGAAGACGACTACCAGCGAGGTGTCGTGAACTATAGGCGAAAGTCGTACGGGATGGGGCAGAGTACGGATTTGGATAGTGGATTCTCCGGAAGTAGCGGAAGCACCAGCTATATCGGGAATCTGAGAGCTAGAAAGACGGAAGCGAGAATGCTATCGCTTCAGCAGCAGAGTCATCATCAGTCGATGATGCTGTTCGAAGGAATGGGGCAGGAGGACACACGCAGCATAGCCAGTTCCAACTCGATGGATCGGTCCAGTGGGGGCGGATCGGTCAAAGCGCTTTGCAAGGGGAAGAACTTGAGCAAGTTGTTCAGTGGAAGTACGCGATCGTTGAAGAAAATGCTGGAATCGGCGGATGGGTCTCGGAAAGGGACGCATTCGACGCCGAGTTCGCCAACGTTCGTCAAGTCGAACAAGGTTGGCTTTTGGTCCAAGAAAAGTTGGACCAAGAAGCTGTCGTCCAGCGGTGCGTTGCATCGGAGTTTTGATGAAGGTGAGTGGTTTTTTTTTTGATTTTTTTTTTAGTTTTCAATAATGTATTTTTTTTGTTACGATCCATGTTGGGGTTCGTCGACGTGTGGTTCAATTGTTTTGTGTAGTATACGATCTAATTTTAACACCATTTGAGTGCTAAGTAGGAAGTGGTCGATTTGTACACGCTACGATCAGCAGATCCATCAAATAGCTAGTTGTCATCGTCGTCGTCGGGATCGTAATAGCTGTGTATCACTTATATGGGGTGCGAGATATGCGATTTGGATGGCGCGTTTGATGTGGAGTATATTGTGGATATGATAATAAAAATTTAACCTTATGTGCGACACCGATGCGCGCTCGGTAACGGCAAAGGGGAATGGTCGTTATATATGTGTATATCAGCGTCTCACTGTTCCGGCCCGGCTCAATCCCGAACCAGTTGGACCAGCGCTGCGCAGTCTCTGGTGGGTATGCGATGTATCACATAATTTCCAGTTGTCCAACGCTTCGTTGTTGGATAATTTTTGAGTTATGTGCGAAACGTCATCATCCGTGCGAGTGTCTTTTTTTCTGCTTGTTCTGCAAGTCATTAGCTGTAATTTTCTGCCCCTTCACAAACTAACTAATTTACTTATCAACTCTAAACTTAGTCTTCGTTCGTTGACAAATAACCATTTCTAAAAAAAGGATGATTTCCAGAATCAATCATCACGGTAAATTAGCGAAAAACTTAGGAGGCGTAGGTGGTTACGTCAATCAAACGTCCCTCCTCTCCGCAAACATTACAGAGGACCAATTTCATTCAATCTATCCAGTTCCGGTCGCCAAATCTAGCGCAGAACTTTTTCAACCTGCAAACAGAGAGAGATAGAGAGAGGGACCAGACCATCACACCTAATTTAATCAAAACCATCTTCCGTTGTACTTGTAGGTACCCAGTTGGTTAGGCTGGAAATGCGTTTCAAGTTTCGCACACTTCAAACACAGATGCCACTGCTGCTCCTCGCAGCTCGCAGTAGGCACAATGAAAAGAACGGGAGAGCGTTTTTCTCTCTCTCGCATATCTCAGCAGGAGTAAGTTCATTCATTTGCGTTTGTTCGCGGTCAGCTGCAGCTTTGCTGCACGTTGTGTTCTGAGAGAATCTCTCGATGCACTTATGAGACGCTCTGCTCTGATGGAACCGGGCTTTTTTGTGGAGGTAGGGTAAAATGGTAAATTGTTGCCTTAGTCAATTTGTACGACATGTTTTGAATTTGAATAAAATGTTGTCACCTAAGATTTGTATAAGATGGATTAGTTTGTAAATCTTGTGAAAATGTTATTCGTTCGTGGTTTTGAACTATTTTGTTTTTAGGGAAGTGTTAGTAAATCGTCATTTATCGCACAGACCTTCAACCTCCTTTCCTTTCGGCTTAAATCATCCCACGGTGTGTTTGGACTAAACACAAGTAATCGGCATTTAAAAAAACTTCAGATTTTAAAGAAAATACCTACGGGCAAGACAGCTTTTGGTCATGAGTTAAAACCGAGTTAATTTTGAATAACTTTGAGTAGCTCGAGCTATTCAAAATTCAATACAAGCAGACTCAGCAACCATGTTTTTGTTGTGCTCATTTCCCAGATGTCAAACAACAATATCATCTGACCGCGTTTTATACCGGATCATCTCTCTCAAGTGTTGTAATCAGGCTTCCAGTGCGCGCGCTACCGTATGCGAGACGCAATACGAATAGTCTCATAATCATAGCAGTCTCATGCGCAAGAGATTTGTAGCACTCTGTTTCTCTCTCTTCAGTTTTGTCGCATCTCACATTCTCATAATGTCTGTGTGTCGCACTGTTTTGTAAGCACAGCACATTTCCGGATGTATGCGTTTCATGAGAACGAGTATCATGCGACGTCGCGTGAGCCGAAGCTCATGCGCTTTTCGCAATGAGACGTCGCTAAGCGACGTTTCAATGCGACATCGAAATAACAAACTCAACTGGAAGACCAACTCGTGTTCTTGATATGGGGAAAGTGTTGTTTTGTTTTGGAAACGATGGAAAGCGACCTAGCTACTACACTCTTATCGAACATGGAGAAGAGGTGTCGGATGGTTATGACCAACAAAGTTTTCCTAGGGGCAATTTTCGTTGATTAAAGGATTAACTTGAAAAATAGCCCATTCATAACGAACGAAGTTAGAGATGTGGCTTTGGTAAGTGAAATGTACAATCAAGTTGTGGTTTATTTGCTCGTTAATATGCTTTTTTTTTTAATTTCAACGAGAGTCCACGGTACTAACACTAGGACTATTTAGAAATCTGTCGTCGCAAATTGATTGTTTCAATTCAGCATCATGGTGGCTGATATGAACTATCCTGTGAGCGCTAACACATCTGAAGAATTCAGTTGCTGCCGTAATAAGTTTTGTTGATTGACAGGTATTCAATACAATTCCTGAAGCAAGAAGCTTAGCAACAATCCGTAATACAGATATGACACAAATTGTTCCTAAATTTATTACTTTAACCTTAATCCAGCATTTCGTACCTACGTACACTGTGGTGCAAAGTTGATCGGACAAAGGTCGTTTTCATACAAACTAGCCAAGTTTAACATGTTATAAATGTGTTCTGTTATGATCAATTGGGCTGAAATTTTGACGCAAAACTTCAAATATGTTGAATTTCACGTGTAAGAAATACCAAATTTTTTGAAGCACTTGCTGGAAGTGGACAATAAAAATAAAATTTGTGCATAGCTGATCGGACAAAGGTCAATGGAAAAGCAAGTTTTGTGTCAAAAATTTCAACTCAATTGATCTGACAGAACACATTTACAACATGTTAAACTTGGTTAATTTTTAAGTGCAGACTTGTGTGTATGCAATGAGAAGTCACCACCAACGTTTTTGCAGCAAAGTACATTTCTGCGTTGAAAATAATCCCTTAAAATAGTGTTCACTCAAGCCAGACAAATAAAAATATTAATCTTCAGAGTTCTATCATTACTAGCGTGTTGATATGATCGGTCAAGTCAGACCGAAATGTGAATTTTTTATTTGATTTTGAGAAAAACGAGTTTAAAGTTGGCTGTTCAATATTGTGTCTTGTGTAATGGGAAAAATCATATGACCGTTTTCTCGTGCTACTCTATTTTTTTCAAATCTGGCTGAAAAATTGAAATGTAGCTGAGGGAATTCTTGATCTTATGATATCATTGACTCATTTTTTGTTTTTATTTTGCTACTTAGTCCCTTCTGACTTAAGGCCGACCATATCAGGCATAACATATGATAACGGCACAAAAGCATTTGTAAACAAACTTTCTAAGGTCCTTTACACGCGATCCAAAGTACGCCCACGCAAACCAATGCCACTTTCGGAAAGGTGATAGTTGCCCCTATTCGACGATGTTGTTGGTTTGCGTGGACGTACTTTGGTTCGCGTGTAAAGGACCTTAGAAAGTTTGTTTACAAATGCTTTTGTGCCGTTATCAAATGTTATGCCTGATATGATCTTGTATAGTATAGTGCTGTTTTACATTCAAAATCGTCCATTTATATTTTTACTGGTCTGAGTAAAAGTATTCTGAGGGATTCTGAGTTTAATTTGGTGCAAATGCGCAATAACTTGTTTATTTTTCCACCAAATGGGCTGAAAGCTTCAGAGGCTTCCAAAAAATGTATTTTAGAAGATTTCCGCATAAGGACTTGTTGAAGGACACATAGTTCCACAGATATTCCGGTATTATTTGGGTGCTAACATGTTAACGGTATCCCAACTACCGTAAGGTTGCCATCCACCGCTCACGTAGCCTTCCTTTACCTTCCTTTAGCATCCTTTCGACAAGCCATTGCGTCTTCCTAGGATCATGAGTGATGATCTTACGGTGATTCCAGTATATCTCTGGAACCATGTGTTGAGTCTGCTTGAATCTATACTAGAAGATATTTCTGGAACCATCTAAAAACTTCACCCCATTTCAAAAGATACATACGAAAAGGGCACACAAATCTTCTGTGAACAAACCCTTGCAATCCCTTATCTCGTCACCCGACAACATCACTTATGATGGGACCGCGAGAGTCAAAGCATGCGAAACAGCGCACGGCGATGGCGCCCTGAGAGAGCGCATTGAGATGTTTCAATGAAACAGTCGCATGTGATTGAATACATGCGTCGCATTGAGAGAGCAATGCGATGAGACAAACAAAAATTGAAACGCTCGAATTTGTTGAGAGCGTGTAGCTTGTCGCGCGCATCGTTCTGGTCTCTCTTTTGTACAATAATGTAGCACACCATGGATTTGAGAGTCATGCGACGGCCCGTCTCACAGCTCGCTGTCGCATTTGTGTACGCGTGAGATTTCCGGAAGCCTGGTTGTAATTGTTCGTCCTCCGAAAAATAGTATAGCCATTTATCGATTCTTATCGTTAATTTGTTCCATTCTATTTTCAGCATATCTATGAGTACAAACTTGAAGAAATTTAGCTTGCCTGGCCCTCGGCTGAAATAACCACGGCACTCACGATATTACAACGATTTGTACTGGAAATTCAATGCTGCTGTTCAATGTACTTGTAGTTAGAGCATTATGCATTAAAAACACAATATGCCTCATTAGTGTAGCATGGCTCGACGACAAACACCACTGTTTTCAGAAAGTTTTTAAATAAGGAATTACATGTTGTCGATGAATGCAATATTCAAATTCAAGCATGCGGATGGCAGACTTAATTTTTAAATCACACCAATCGCTTTGGGTAGAGACTACAGTTTTTGTTTGCCATGTGATTGGATATTCAGGTTCTTTATATAACAGTAGCGGTGAAACTGCCATACCAGTCTACCAGCAAATTGCTGTTCCGCTTTAATCGATGGTTTACTATAGGCAAGCAAGGCTAGGATAGAAACTGTACCATCAACCATCTCCGGAATCGGTTCCGGAACCTCATCACATTTCACAAGTATGTACTCGTTGGGTTGCCGTCGATGTTTATTCAAAATGATGACAGTTAACCTGATTTC